TAAAAAATTGTTACTTTCCGTTACTTTTGTAAAAAAAAAAGTTAAAATCGGCTCATAAAACGAATAGTAAGAGAGAGTACATAAATTATACATATATAAAGACAAAATATAAGATATTTAAGCGGGAAACATTCTTGGATAACGACATAAAGCCCATTCTGCATTAGTCGCAAATCGTAAGGTCGCAAAGAAATTGACTAATCATATTCGATTGTTCTTTTTGCGATCGAAAAATAATCAATTATGATTGATCAATTGGTCCTTGCGATCTTGCGATTGCGACTAATGTAGAATGGGCTTTAAGGGCGCCGCACATAAATTGACATAACAGTAACGTAAGACGTACCATAAAAATGGACCAATTACAATCGAGTATTCACAAAAATGGCTATCCTACGGTTCGACGATACTCAAAGTGATTGGTCAATTCTTACGGTACGTTACTGTTATATCAATTCGTGTGCGGCGCTCCTTAAGCGTGGTCTACAATGAGAACTTAAGCCATAAAATTTAAGCTTTAAATCGTAAGCCGTAAGAAGTTGACCAATCACAGTTAATTATAAGAAAAATAATTGACTGTGACTAATCAATTTCTTACGACTTAGAGCTTAAACTTGAATTTTATGGTTTAAGTTCTTATTGTAGACCACGCTTTAGAGGCTTTCTACAATAAGCAATAAGTTTTAAGTCGCAATAAAATTGACCAATTACAGTGGATTATTCTTCTAATAGTTGACTATGATTGGTCAATTTTATTATGATTTAAGATTTATTGTTTATTGTAGAATGGGCTTTACGGAAAGCAGCACATTAATTGTTTATCGTGTGCAAACTTTTGTCGCGTGGTAAGCATTGCCGCGTTCTGTGTACAGAAGCCACTATAATAAAAAAATAATGATAAATAAACGAAACGATAACGAAAAAAAGTAACGATGAATTTCGTTACTCGTTACTAAAGAAAACGTAACGCCGTTACTTTTTCGTTACTGATACAAAAAAGTAACGGCGTTACCAAATCGTTACCAAAAAAAAGTAACGAAATAGTAACGTCGTTACAAGTAACGCGTTACTTCCCAACCCTGCATTACACGGAGGTTAATAAACCTGTCATTAACCTTCTAATAACATGAAAATGTTCGTCCATGTTCATTCCATTAACATTACAAAAATTTTGTACTAAATTATTAATATACAATAATATGCCTAGAATCTTTCAATATTTTTAATAAGAAATTCTTGATAAAGAAATGTTAATTATAATCAGCTTAGTCAATTTATATTGATTTAAATGAAATTTAGCTCTTTTATTTGATTTCTCAGTATTTTCATACTATTTTAAATTTACTCAGTACTAGTCGGACGCGAATTCGAGACCTCAGATACGTCTAAGTTCCTAGTCTATTAACTTGGCTGTTGCGCTATTTCTCCAACTGAGCGTTTTTTATTATCCCCATATGCAGTTAAAGCAGTTATAATTTTCTTATAATATTATTTAATACAACTACAAAAATAAACTATGCAGTCCAAATATTTCACATAATAAAAGAAAAGTCGGAGATATACATAAAACTAAAGCATTTGAAGCGGCTATTGAATAAAATCTGGAGTTAATTTTATTATTAATATTTTAATTTAATTTAGTTATATTTGCTTTCTTAATAAAAAAAATTTTTGTATGTGAAAAAAGTTGTATATACAATTAATTATTAATTGATTATTAATAAACTATATTTCAATTGTGTACCCGATGAAAAATTTTTCATGCAAAATTTTGTATTAAATTTGTCCATACATAATTATGTATAATTATATATAATCATATAAAATTATATATAATTATACACAATTATGTATAACAATATGTATAATTACATATAAATTTATGCGTAATTATGTAAAATTATATATGAATTTATATATATAATTATATATAATTATATATAATTATATATA